GGGGGGGGGGTTATTACTGATGCCCCGTCTTCTCCAGACCCCCGGAAGATGGAGGCGCGCATCCCCCCCCCCCCCGCCTTTTATCACCTTCCGCTTGGTTCTTCTACTGGTCTCTTAAAAGCACCTGGGCGGGCTGGCCTCCGTACACGAGTACCAGCAATTGTCCTCCATCACGCCAACAGCCATCCCCCTTTTGCCTGCCCGCTGTCTCTCCCGCCATCACCTCCGCCCCTTCCTTTGCACCTCCTCCTGGCCCCGCCTTCCTCCACCGCGGCCGCTTGCCTGTCTCCACCCTCGGCCAGGACCCCCCCCCCCGGAGGTGACCTCCCCGTGTCATCGTAGGGAACCTTCCCCCGCCTCGCAGGATGTCCTTCCCCTACACCCAGGCCCCCCTCAGCTCCGCCGCATCAGGCCCCCCCCAGCAATACCAACCCCAGCCCCAGCCCCAGCACTACCCACACCAGCAGCCGCATGCTCAGCACTTCCCGACGGCATATCCGCCTCATTATTACTCCCAGCAATATCACCTGCAGCCGTATGCTGTCCATCCGGCACAGACCCCCCATGTCGCCTGCAGCAGCTCGGAGCCCGGCTACTCGATCCCCAGCACCGGGGACTTCGCCCACAACATCCCTGGCCCTCTCAATGCCCCGGCACACCTTCCTCCCGCCTCGTCACTCCAGCCACACAGGCACCATCATCCACACCAGCCGCCTCATGTTCTCCCTCCCCCGCCCCAGGTTCTGCCCCCCCTGCCGCAGCCGCAGCCGCAGCCGCAGCCGCTGGCGCAGGCCGCCGCATGCTCCGGCATCCCACCCTCCGCCTTGGGCGCCACGCGGCCGGACTCGGCTCCCGGACGCCTTATGGCAACCCACACAGACAGCCGGCCTTCCTCACCAAACCCAAGCACCCCGGTCGCCGTGTCTGCGACCGCTGCCCCAGCCGCCGTGACCGGCCCCGCCGGCCGGGCCGCCCGGTCCACTAAAGCCGCCAAGGCCACCAAAGCCACCAAGACCAGCCGCGTGGCGCGAACCGCCTCCGGCCCCAAGGCACCCGAGCGGGCCCAGGCCAATTCCGGCAACCCCTCTGGCCAGGTGACCCGGGCACCTGGCCGGCGCTCCGACAGCTCGCTCATCACCTTTACCAAGAAATACATTCATCTGCTGATGAAGCACCGAGAGCTCACGATCCCCCGTGCTGCCGATCTGATGTCCTCCAACAAACGCCGCATCTACGATGTCATCCGCTACTTGGGGCTCTTCAACATCGCCTACTACGACAAGTCTCAGGGCCATGCCATTTGGGTGTGCGTCTTTGTCTTTGCCTCTCTCTCTCTCTCTCTCTCTCTCCCCCCCCGTTCTTCCCCCCCTTTCCTCTACATTCTTCCTCATTGGCCCCCTTCTTTTTGCTTTCCCATTTCATTTCCGCCCTCCTCCCTTTTTTTTTCGTGCCCTCTTCTCGGCGCCTCCTCCTTGCTCGCCGCGATGGCCCGCCCACGAGAATCTTCCCCAAACTCACCGTACATTCATTCGCCAACAGTGGCCTTGATGACATGAGACTGTCCTTCGACCCTGCCACATACAACCCCGATGATCCTGACAATGACAACCTTGTCGCCATGAGCGAGGGGTCCGTGTCGCCCCCCCCATCCGCCGAAAAGCGCCTGAAGGTGCAAGTTAAGGAAGAGCCCACGCCCGCCTCCCTGGTGAAGACCGAAGCGTCGAGCCCCCCGACGACCGGCGAAGCGTCCACTTCCTCATCCCCGGGCTGGGGTCGCCTCCTGTGGCTCCAGGACCAGATGGTGGAGGCCATTGCCACCATGAAAACCGAGGGCGCCGACATGGGTGCCGTGGCCACCTTCCTCCAGAGCATGACCCTTCACTGTCTTGAGCAGGCTGGCGGCCCTGGGGGTGCTCCACCTCAAATGTTTACCGGGCCGCCGACTGCCCCGGCCAGTGATCTTGGTTACCACTCCGGCGGAACCCCTGACACCTTGGACACGCCGACCGTCCAGAATAGCCCCACCACTCCGACTTCCTCGGCAGCCCCTTTCCGCTGCCTGAAGTCCTCGTCGCACTTTGCGGCCGATGTCGAGGCTCCGCCCATGGTGTCCGACTGCCCTGGCGTCGGAATGACCCCCATTGACCAGCGGCCCCCCCCAGACGGGCCCCGGAATATTGGCTCCCTGGCTGCTGGTCCAGCCCGGCTGGCCCACCAGGTGGCGACGCCCCCCTCTTCCGAGCCTGATGCCCTGCCGCACCCAGATCTCAAGGCCTCCTCGCTGCTGGCATCGCCGACGGCCGGCGCATGTTCCGGCGACCGGCATCACCTTCCAATGTTCTTCCACGGCACCCCGGGAACCTGGGGAGCGCCCATGCCCCAACTCTCGGCATCCAGTCCACTGCATTCCCCCTTCCCAAGCACTGCCAGCCCGGCTGGTGTGCACGCATTCCCCGGCCACAATGGCCGATCTCTGGCCGGGACTCCCCTGGCACCTCAGCAACAACAACAACAACAACAGCAGCAGCACCACCAACATGGTAGTGCGTTGCTTCTGATCTTCTTTTTTTTTTCGACCCTCCTCAGCATACATTGGGTGTTCGCCGCCAGCTCCCCTCTCCCCTCCTGTGTCCTCCATATGACTGACCCCGCTTTTCCTTGCCCCCCCCCCCCCAGACACCGCATGTCTTTCCGATACCATGACCACCACCCAACAGTCCGTACGCCCAGCAATGAAGTCAAGTGGATCCTCCGCCTTGACAACTGGACCCTTCTCGGATCTTGCTGCTCCGGCAATGGCTGGCACTGATGCCCCGTCGGCCGAAGGGGTCGGTTCCATGCCGAGCACCACCGAGACAGCTGAGCGTCCCAACCCGTGTCCATTTTAGTGTCCTTGCATT